CACGACCATGATTATAACAACCACGACCATGATTATAACAACCAAGACTATGATTATAACAACCACGACTGTGATTATAACAACCATGACCATGATTATAACAACCACGACCACGATTATAACAACCACGGTTATGATTATAACAACCACGACTATGATCATGAACATGACTATGATTATAACAACCACAACTGTGATTATAAAAAAAACGACCATGATTATAACAACCACGACCATGATTATAACAACCACGACTATGATTTTAACAACCACGACCATGATTATAACAACCACGAACATGATTATAACAACGATGACGATGATTATATCACCCACGAACATGATTATAACAACCACGACTATGATTATAACAACCACCACTATGATTATAACAAACGCAAACATGGTTATAACCACGACCATGCTAATAACAACCACAACTATGATTATATCATCCATCACTATGATTATAACAACCACCACTATGATTATAACAACCACGATTATGATTATAACAACGACGACCATGATTATAAAGACCACGACTATGACTAAAACAACCACAACTATGATTATAACAACCACGATCATGATTATAGCAACCAACCACGACCATGATTATAACCACGACTATGATTATAACAACGACGACCATGATTATAACAACCACGACCATGATTATAACAACCACGACCATGATTATAACAACCACGACCATGATTATAACAACCACGACCATGATTATAACCACGACTATGATTATAACAGCCACGACTATGATTATAACAACCACGACCATGATTATAACACCCACGACCATGATTATAACACCCACGACCATGATTATAACAACCACGGCTATGATTATAACAACCACGACCAAGATTATAACAACCACGACCATGATTATAACACCCACGACCATGATTATAACAACCACGGCTATGATTATAACACCCACGACCATGATTATAACAACAACGATTATGATTATAACAACCAAGTCCATGATTATAACAACCACGACTATGATTATAACAACCACGACCATGATTATAACACCTACGACCATGATTATAACAACCACATGATATGATTATAACACCCACGACCATGATTATAACAACCACGACTATGATTATAACACCCACGACCATGATTATAACAACCACGACTATGATTATAACCACCAGGACTATGATTATAACCACCAGGACTATGATTATAACAACCACAACTATGATTATAACACCCACGACCATGATTATAACAACCACGACCATGATTATAACACCCACGACCATGATTATAACAACCACGGCTATGATTATAACAACCACGACCAAGATTATAACAACCACGACCATGATTATAACACCCACGACCATGATTATAACAACCACGGCTATGATTATAACACCCACGACCATGATTATAACAACCACGATTATGATTATAACAACCAAGACCATGATTATAACAACCACGACTATGATTATAACAACCACGACCATGATTATACCACGACCATGATTATATACGACAACACGACCATGATTATAACAACCACGACTATGATTATAATATACGACCATGATTATAACAACCGACTATGATTATAACAACCGACATGATTATAACAACCATATGATTATAACAACCACGACCATGATTATAACACCTGACCATATTATAACAACCACGACCATGATTATAACACCACGACCATGATTATAACAACCACGACTATGATTATAACACCACGACCATGATTATAACAACCACGACTATGATTATAACCACCAGGACTATGATTATAACACCAACGACCATGATTATAACAACCACAACTATGATTATAACACCCACGACCATGATTATAACAACCACGACCATGATTATAACACCCACGACCATGATTATAACAACCACGGCTATGATTATAACAACCACGACCAAGATTATAACAACCACGACCATGATTATAACACCCACGACCATGATTATAACAACCACGGCTATGATTATAACACCCACGACCATGATTATAACAACCACGATTATGATTATAACAACCAAGACCATGATTATAACAACCACGACTATGATTATAACAACCACGACCATGATTATAACACCTACGACCATGATTATAACAACCACGACTATGATTATAACTCCCACGACCATGATTATAACAACCACGACTATGATTATAACAACCACGACCATGATTATAACAACCACGACTATGATTATAACAACCACGACCATGATTATAACAACCATACCATGATTATAACAACCAAGACCATGATTATAACAACCACGACTATGATTATATCAACCACGACCATGATTATAACAACCACGACCATGATTATCTTATATACTATATGAATAGCCGTGTGTCTGTGTATGTGTCTGTGCTGGGCAGCCGAAACGGCACAATCGTTTTGCATCAAACTTGGTGAAAAAATCGCAAAAAAATCGTAGAGTGGAACAAACCTGGTCCCATATCGATGGTTTCTTTAGGGAGGCATTAATTAACCATTTTATTTACGCTGGAAAATGATGTCGCTGTACGCTGTCAGCCAGCCCGCGGTTGTGCGCTAGCCAAGCAGAGCATTCGAACTTTCACGCTTTGGTAAACTGTACCACCGGACTCGCCACCGAGCACGAAGGGCCCACGATCACTTGTGATGACTTTATGTTTCTTATTTTTTTATTCTGAAAGTTTTTGTCAATCAAGGGACCCACTCCCCACTTTCACCACATGTAACTTATCATCTCTGTTTATTGTATATTCAATTCAATTTCAATTGTTTATTCCTTGATAGAGGAAGTGGGATCCTAATGCTTTCACTAAGTACCCCTGTACAATGACACCAGAAGCATCTGGCAAGTGTGACAAGTATATACAGTATAAATATTATAAAGGGGCTTACTAAAGCCTAAGGAAGGAAGGATATTCCTTTAACACATAATCAATGTTATTTACAAAATATCTGGCCAGTATGGGGAGGATCATCGTGTCTCCGTCAGGGGGTCGTGGAGTGGTGGTCCAGCAGGCGTCACGGAAACGTTGTGTGTGGGGACATCTTAGGAGGTAGTGGATAAGGGTGCGGCTGTCGGGTCTTCTGCATAATGCACAAGAGCGTTGCTCAGGGGATGCGGGGATACCAATCTCCAAAGCAAAGTCATACCCAATGATGATACGGGCAGCAATCACGTCCCCTTTCAGCGACCCTTTCCCATAGACGTACGAGAGGTCAGGAAGTTTACGGAGGACATCGTACCAGGTGGGCGGGGAGTCCAGGGGGATGGCTGTTTCCCGAGCTCTCTCTGTTTGCGGCGAATTTGGGTCCTAAGCTGTAAAAGTGCTCGAGGAACAACGTAGTCAGGTGTGGCCTTGTTGCAGCCAGTCTTGGCAAGGCCATCTGCTGCCTCATTCCCCAAGATACCGACATGACTGGGTATCCATAGGAATGTTACAGGATGGCCTGCATCCTGAAGTGTGGATGTTAACCCTCGTATTCGGAGGATGAGGTCCTTGTTTTCCCCTGATCCAAATGCAATCCCGTCGAGAGCAGACCTGGAATCGCAGCAGACAAGCAAGGGGCAGAAACCATCTGCTTCTTCCTCAGCGAGAGGGGCAGCAAGGAGGGCTATTAGTTCAGCCTGAGTGGAGGGTGCCCCGTCAGAAACTCTGAGAGACAGTTTGATAGGCTCAGGGGCATCAGGACGGGAGATGTAGACACCAGCCCCGGCCCTACCTGTAGCGGGGTCAACAGAACCATCAGTGTAGAGGACAACCCTACCTGGGGACCAGTGGGCGATCCTGGAGAGTTGGTATTTGCAGAGAATAACAGGGTTCACCTGGGATTTCGGGAGCGGTCCACCGAGGGCAATCACTTCAGGTTGAAAATCCAGCCAGGGAGAAGGAGACGAACCAACAGCAGGGGTGACAACAATTATTGTATATTTTCAGCCTTCTGTCTGCCATTTTATCTTAATAAACCGTTAATTATTATTATCTATTATTATTACTACTATGATACCACACCAGCTCACACCCGACTGTTACTTGCCCCAACAGTATCGTTAATACAGTAGTTCACTGGTGCTCAGCAGTGCTCATGTAGTCCACTAGGGCGGCCCTTATCTCCACTCGACGTGACACTGCTACTTCAACCTCTCATCACATCAACCTCTAGAGCTCCACATTTAGCCTACACATTAGGTAGTAGGTAGTAGACAGCTACCAAACAGGGAGGTACTACCGCATGGGAAGAGATTGGAAGCATTATGTTGTCTAATGGTGGATCCTGCTGCTACATGGCATCACGAAAATTGTGACCAAGTCCCAGGTTGCTGATCTGTCTTTCTGCCTCATTTACACACAATTGCAGGGTCTCAACTGTTTCTCTTAATTTATTATTATTTTTATTATTATTATTATTATTATTATTATTATTATTATTATTATTATTATTATTATTATTATTATTATTATTATTATTATTATTATTATTACTATTATTATTATTATTATTATTATTATTATTATTATTATTATTATTATTATTATTATTATTATTATTATTATTATTATTATTATTATTATTTTTACAGTGTAGTTATTATTAATATTGCTATCATTATTATTTTATTTTTTATTTTTTATTTTTTATTAAAATTTTTATTTACTGTGAATTATTATTATTTTCTGATTGATTTTGTATTTTTATTAAAAATCTTAGTTACTATGAATTATTATTATCGTATTATTATTACATTTTCGCTCCCCAGGCCCCGATGTGGGTCAGTGACCTCTGCCCAGGTGGGCTAATCCCGAAAAAAAAAATAAAAATAAAAGTGAAGCTTATAATTGGTGAGCACTTGTAATATTCAAGTAATTGTACTATAATGTAATATTCCTTAAATGTAATATCATTTTCCTCATGTCTTACAGAAAAAATTCTAGGTCAGTACTTTACCTTGGAAATTTGACTCCTGATTATTGCGGTGGGAAGCTGGTCTGGCACAATAACGAACATGTAGACAACCCACCACTGACTGGCAAGGGTCAATAGTCCAAACGTCAAGTTTCTCAGAAATACCAGCAGTTCTGAACTTGCCCCCATCAGACAATCATGTATTTCCAGTCTGTGAAGAATCGAGGCTGCGGCGAGAACAATAAGTTGCCCTATTAGTTGGTTAATGGTATAATATATGCTGTATTGGTCTTGTCTCCAGTTGAACACCCTGCAAGTCCACAGGTACAGGTTGTGAGGTATAGCGGTATTGTCACCGAGCATAAAAGTCAAGAGAAACAGTAGATGTGATCGTGTACGCCCAGGTCGTCTCAGTAAGGTAATACGGAATAAGTCGACCACATTCTTCGGGTTCCAAGGACTTGCCACCTTAGATTTATTACCTGCGGCTTCACCTTCGAGAGATATTTTATCTTTGACTTTAATTACAGCTACACCAAAAGCGCTGCAGTGTAGAAGGAGAGCAATACTGAAAATCCAAACACTTCCTTCAACAGCATATATTCAAGCTCCCAGAAGTGTACCAAGCATACCTCCTATATTATAAACAGCAGTCATGATGGCTACGCGGGGTGTTCTGGAGTATTGGCTGGTGACGTCTTCCATGTAACTGTACGAAGCCATGAATAACAAAGGCCAGCCTCCGCCGATGCTTTGAAGGAAGTACGCTAGAAGAAAAACATAAGGTGGTCACGACGGGAAGAGCGCCACTAGGAGGCAAACAATACCGTACAGTATATATCCAAATAGTGAGAGAAGGATAGGAAGACGTCGCCCACGCTTATCACTCTAGGACGCGATAAAAGACATCAAGAAGACAAGGATGATTGTATTTGCTTAATTCTAGTAAAACATTAAGACACTGTCGAGATTCTGCATTTTTACTTGCAGGTCTGTGTGGTCTCCGTCGTTGATTACTGCGCATTCCTCAGCAGTCTCATTCAGCGTTACACGACAAAACCTTTCTATTTTGAGGTTTTCTTGTATCACTATTTGTATATAAAATGCTGCATAGTGTAAAAACATTACAGGTTCTACAGTAATGGATGAGAGAAAGTTCCGAGTGACTCTCAGGAGTTGTATCAGTGCACGTCCACTTCCCATGGTTGCCGCTTCCACAACTACTTCACCAGGGTGAATGTTAAGGTCTCATAAAGAACTCAACAGCAACCCTGTCCTGATAATACTGATTAGTTGAGTGTATCACATTAATAAAAATCCTAGCAGTGATAATTATATCCAAGAAACATAAATATGATTGTCGTCTATATGGGCTGACATACAGTTATTAATGCCTTTTCTTATTCTCTCTGTTGAGCAAAAATATTCATATTTAGTAAGCTTCTTTCTTCCTCTCTTTTAACTCACTTTCACCAATATGCAACTGTATCCCATTACTCAACTTCTGTCATGCTTAACTTTTATTCATCTTTTTTATATTAATTTATGGTAATTATGTACTCAGTGATTTAGTATAGTCCCTACTCAGAAAAAAAGGCCAAACCCATCCCCTCTAGAAAGAGGTTAAATGAGATGATATTTATCCAGTTTATTTTTTCTATTACACGAACAACGCAATCCAGTCGCAAATTTAGGGTTTTTGGTCTTATAATTCAGTTCCCCTAATATATTCTACCTGGGGATCGATAAATCACGGGACTTGGTTTATCTGAGGACTAGGTACATTTGCCTTAAATAATTTATTTACCCTTTATGGTGATATTTACGTAAATGTGGCAGAGTCCCAATGCCGAAATTGTAAATGAATGGGTAGTCTTATAACGATGAATCTGATTGGTGGAAAAGTTTGGGTGCTGGACTGGAGATGAAATTTGGGGGAGGGGAGCGGTCCTCCCCATAGGTAAAACTGTGAGGGCTACCCCTTCGCCATAATATCGTGTTAAATAAGTAATCCGTCTCAATCCTCATGACGTTTCTGAATACACCTGTAAGGACGATCCTGATCGCTGCCACGACCACAACACCTCACACCACACTCCACAATACAGGCCTACCACTATTTGCATTAATATGTAACGCCTCTTACGGTCAATATACCATGCTTGCCGTTTTCCCACGATTATCTTATCAAAGGTATTCTGGAGTTTGTAGATTAAGGAATATATGTTAGTTTTGATATAATTTTATGTGTTTCTTTTATGTATCAATAAGAAATGATATTTCAGAAATCAGTAAAAGCTCTCTACTGATAGACATTAGTTGCACCTCTAATGCAGGGCCGTGGGACACATATTCTGTAACTTATTGTATGTATATTCTGTATATGTATTTATATTATGCTATGTATATTATGTATGTGCTCCATTTATGTATTATTCATTTAGCCTAGCTAGTAGCTTGTGGCAATGTATTTATCAATGTCCCACATGCTTAATTAATGTGCCTGGCGACGTATGGAAGCTGTTAATGTATCACTTGCCATACGTCTATAGAACAGTTGACAAGCAGACAGGTTGAGGAGCGCTACTCCCCTTGTGTACATATCTCTTATCCAGTAAATCGAACCTACAAAATTATACAGGTGTTTGTGTTCGCTCCTGTATATTGAACTTAGAACACGAACATGGCGCAGTGAACCGGTTTTACTAGATAATTACGAGTGACAGTGCAAAGTTTGTGGAAAGCCGGCTTACGGACTCCTTCCCTGTGTCAACCAACCGCCGCCCGCCACCCCTCCTCGAAGAATTTAGCAACTTTGAGCAGTGTCAGTGACAGTGATTTTCTGTGAAGTGTTTAGTGCATTGTGTGTTTCGTGCCATTCATGTGTGACCTTGTTCTAAAGGATTCCCAAGGTACACGGCATGTTCTGGGCATTTGTAAGGAGTAGACTTGAGTACACCTCCACTCGCGAAGCCTGGAGGGTAACTGCCGCTAGTCGTCGTCTCCACTCCCCCTCACAGCGTCGTCTCCACACCCCCTCACAGCTCGAGGAGACTGCTCTCACTGCCCGGGACACACACACACACACACATACATGTACTAACACACTGACCGCGGCGATTTCCTTATATATATTTTATATATATATATAATCTACTTATCTATGTATTTAATTAATTTTTTGTCTGAGATCTTGTTGATACGACGGGCAGTACACAGATGAAGTAGTTATGTCTCGTGCCTTACGTAGCCGTGGAGCCAGTGCCCGGATGAGTCAGTCGGATGATAGCCCCGCAGAGATGGATGACCAGGCTGACCATGACGCTCCAGCTCCAACAACATCGCGCAGCCCTTCACCTCGATAATCAGCGTTGTCTCCAGAGATAATTGCTTTAATGAAGTTTATGAGAGATGAAAGGCGCGAGGATGAAGCTAACAGACGTGCGGCAGACGAATGCAGAAGACAAGCAGAGGCAGAACGAGACCACCAACGGAGATTGGAAGACAGTGCACGGTTTGAAGCCTTGATATCTCGCCTCACTGTTAACCAAGCGCCTGGCTCTAACACTGCCTCGGTACTGACTGGTTCAGATACCTCATCAATTCTCTCTTCACGCCCACCAGCCCCACCTAAAGCAGCAGCTCAAACACCACCCATCTTGAAACCTGATGTGAATTTCCAGACTTTTCGTGAATGACGGCGACAGTGGATTGATTATTCTACAATGGTGGATCTCCAGCTGCGTATGTGCCTGTCCTTGGAAATTCAGCGTGTCTTAGAACATACGTTGCAGGTACCTCCGACCTCTTCATTGTCTGTAGAGGAGGTACTGGACATTCTACAACGGCACATCAAAGGACAGCAGAATGAAGCTCTACGCAGGAGGGAATTGTTTAGCTTAAGACAGATGGAGGGTGAGACTTTTGACGCCTTTTATGTACGACTCAAGCGAGCCTCGTAAGAGGTAGATATATGTCCAGGTAACCACCAGCAGTGCGAGGAGACCCAGTTGAAGCAGGTGATCCTGATGGGTGTTAAGGACGAGGAGCTTGTCCAATGCCTCACCTCCCTCGACTCTTCCTCTTCTCTTCAGGATGTGTTGACGATATGTCGCTCCTATGAGGCTGCCAGGTGTGCCACCTCTGCCATCCGAGCTTCCCCTACAGTTGTACACGCTGTGTCCCGGTACAAGAAGGACAAGAAGTCTGCTCCTACGCCTTCGCCCACCACGTCCACGCCCGGTTCATTTTGTAACAACTGTGGTAAGCAGCACGGAACACAGGTGTGTCCAGCTGCTGAGTCTACCTGCAACAGTTGTGACCGTAAGGGCCATTGGTCACTCACAGTGCGGTGCCCAGCTAATTACGTCCAGTGCAATGTGTGCGGTCGTCTGGGCCACTATGACAAGTGTTGCCCTACCCACAAACCCAAGGGACAGCGTCGGCGGAAGCTTCAGCGCCCTTCTACCAGTGAGCGCCGCCCACAGTCGCCAAATCAGAGGCACGACGACCCTGGACAAAGCCCAACCCATATTAGGAGGGTGTACTCCTCGCGTCCCAGGACCAAAGTTCCCCAGTACATCAGTGTCATCGTGACCTATGGCAGTGTGTCATCCCATCTTCAGATGTTGCCTGACACCGGCGCTGATGCTACAGTCATCGGTCCCCAGCATTTGCAATGCTTGGGGCTCTCTCCAAGCGATCTAGGACCGCCTCCCAAGGACCTCTGCGTCACGGCAGATGGTTCACAGATGGCCCCAGCCCTAGGTTCACTCTATGCACATGTCACCTTTGGCAACAGGTCGTGTCAAGCCTGGATTGACGTGCATAATGGTGTCCCGACTCCTTTGCTGTCCTACAGACATTGCCAAGAGTTGGCCATCATCTCCCAGGACTTCCCAACACCGATTCTCGAGGTAAAATACGCCAACAGGGTGCACGAAGGGAGCAGCAACTACCCTGCTGCCGCCCTACCCCGACCTCTGGCCAGTGACACCTCTCCTTCGGTAGTTGTCCCTGCTGCTTCAAGTCTCCACGCCTTGGCTTGCCTCCACGACAGTCACTGTGGAGCCGAGGCTACCAAACGGCGCGCAAGACAGACTGTGTTCCGGCCTGGAATCGACCCCGACATCTCCAATGCTGTCCAGGTGTGTTAGCCCCGCCACGTACTACAACCCAGCCAGCAGCAGGAACCCTTCATGAGTGACGACAACCCCACCCGCCCCTTTGAGTCTGTGTCGGCCGACTTTTTCTCTGTGTCAGGAAAGTCCTTCCTTGTTATCGTCGACCGTCTCTCTGGTTGGCCGGTTGTCATCAAGTGCGGTAATGACACGACGTCTGCCGCCACCATCAGCAAGTTCCGCCATTACTTCCGTGACGTGGGCGTTCCTGTGCGCCTGAGAACCGACGGAGGGCCTCAGTTCACAAGCCGGGACTTTGCTGTGTTCCTCGACCGATGGGGAGTCCGGCATGTGTTGTCATCGCCCCATTACCCGCAGTCCAACGGCCACGCTGAAGCTGCTGTCAAATCCTTGAAGCACCTCATCCTTAAGGTGGCCCCTTCTGGGAATATTGACTGCGAGGCCTTCGACCGGGGTCTTCTTGAACTCCGAAACACACCTAACTACACCGGACGCTCCCCTGCCTTCGTTCTTGTGTCCCTGCTCACCCTCAATCCTTCTCCAAGGAGTGGCAGGCCAAGACAGAGGATTGTGATCGCCGAGCCGCCGAACGTGTTCAAGACGTCGTCGCTTGCTACAACGACCACGCCCGTTCTCTCCCCAGGTTGAGTGTCGGCACCCAAGTCCGTGTTCAGGACCCGACCTCCCTACGTTGGGACAAAGTAGGCGTAGTCATGGGTCTCGGTAGGTCACGGGACTACCAGGTGCGGTTACCCAGTGGTCGTGTGTGGTGGAGGAACCGCCGTTTTCTCCGCCCCGTAACA